GTATTAGAAAAAAAGGGAATATAGAAGACATTGGCATGGAAGAGCTTACCCTATATTTATGTCTGAATCCCACAGAACCATTTAATTTTTGATACCACAGGTATCAGGAAAGACTCAGTATCTCTCTATGTTAGATATATGCTGCAGCCAGCGTCACTACTGTGTCGGTAGCATGGCCGTGCAGTGTTTCCTGAGGCTGACATGACAGGTGGGATAGTCTGTCGGTGTTGAATAACAGGAAACACTGACGCTAAAGATTATTTTGCATTCTAGTGGTACAACCCAGATGTAAAAACAACAGTGGGAAAGCTTCAGAGCAGAGAAGACAATGAAGGACATGATCGCTTCTTGGTCTCTTCTTCCTTCTCAAGTGTATGGTCGTAAAATTTTCAAAAGGGCCTAAGTGATCTTGAAGTCTAAGTCCCATTTTCTAAAGTGACCTAGGAATTTAGGGCCAGATTTTTAAAGGTAATTGATTTCAATGGGAGTTAGGCACACAGGTACTCCCACTAGGCACCTTTCTGCATCTTCAGGTGCTTAAATACCTTTGAGAATCTGGCCCTAAATCTCATTGAAAGTCCATGGGAGCTAGGCTCTTCAGACCCAGATTTTTAAAGGTATGTAGACATTGCTCTGCTCAGTGTTGCAATACCTAACTGACTTCGGAGCCTAAGTCTCATTCAAGTGTGACTTTCAACAAAACCAATGGTCCAAAGTGCTTAAATCACTTTTGAAAATGGGACTTAGCTGTCTAAATCACGTAGGCCTTGCAACACTTTAGAAAATTAGCTCCTAAATCATTTGGGCACTTTGAAAATTTTACCCCACTCTTATTTCTGGCCTCACAGTTTCTACGTTGGTGTTGCAAAGTCCTGTGCTTCCAGAGTTTGCATCACCACTGTTTTGGGATCCTGTGGAATAATGTTATAATACTGGCCACAGGATCCCAAAACAGTGGTGATGCAAACTCTGGAAGTCTGGAACTTTGCAGACAGAATTGTATGGGATGGATTGGTAGAAATACATTCTATAACCACAGACGTTAACTCTCATAAATACCAATTATAGCAGGGGATGATTCAAAAAAGTTTGGAACATCTTAATGGTTGCAATATTTTAACAGCATTTCCCCAAAATGATAAACAACCGGGGCAGTCCTCCACATACAAATCATCTTTAACTGCTTCTCAACATAACTAACATTATAACAAGACATAGTATGTTTAATGAAGCAAGGACAGCTTAATGGAAAAAGGATGCAGAAGATAAGCCAAAATAAATACAGGATAAAGAGGTTCAGTCTCTATTACTCTATTGTTTATAGGTATTCATATACAAAAATTAATAGGTCTTGAACTTGGTGGGGGTGTTGCTTTTGAAACCTTCAGCGATGACTTCAAAAAAGGTAACTGCAAAGCACGATAAACTCTGGTCACTGAACCAACTCATTTATTTCCATGGGTCTGGCACCTGTCCTGTGAAATACCTGCTACAATAGAGGATTGAGACATAGCTCATATGTAATATCATTACCTCATTCATCTCTTCTATATTGGTAATCATGACAATGATGGGAGAACGCTCCTGCCACACCATTCTCCAGAAATCACTGACAGTATTAACTATGGGTCCCTGAGTAGCAATATATACCTTTTCCTCTTCTCCATAGCCCTGCCAACAAAGCAACAATAAATCACTATCACACAGTGTGCGCACACACGCACATGCTTGGACACGTCAATCTTTACCCAGGGAAAGCTCTCATTGTCTACAATGGGATTATTGCCTGAGTAAAGTCTGCAGTATCAGGTCAACAGTTATCAATCCAAGAGGTATTGTGCTCACGTGCACTCTTCCTCCCGCGCGTACACACACACACACAGGCAAGGTAGAAGGTACAACTTCAGGTTACACAAGCAGCAGGCAATACTATGGCAATGGGATTGATTCATGCTACAACAGCCTGGTGTTAACTCTAGGTCAAATCCTGCAAGCATAATTCCCATTGACTTTGCTGGGAGTTTTGCTTGCATCAGACCAGTGAGGCAGGGAACTTCATGTCAAAAAATGCAAATATCTTGTTTTTATTGGACCAGAACCTTTACAGTTGCGCTCTGAGGTTCTGCTTCCAATAATAGAAAAACAAGACAGAAAAAGAAACCAAAAAACAAGATGGTCTTTAGAAGCCAATGGACATGGCGATTATTCTTAAATGATCAGTTGCAAACAGTCTATGCAGGTACATTGGACTGCTGAGCTCTTACCCGGATGTAGTTAGCATTGATATATGAGCTAAGAGGATCATCCTGATCAGTTGAGGTAAGGCACACTCTGCTGTGAGGATCTACAGTGTGTAAAGAGAGAGTTAATAGTTATCTGTCAAGAGGAGTAAAAGATTTTTAAGATCGTTTTCTAACCTTTAGTAATACAGCTAATTACTCAGGCATATTCATTAGTCGCCACAACAGATACCTGCGATGCTCTAAAGGGGGCATTGGGGAGTCTCTGATTGAAATGTGTGTATATATCACTGCATTTACTTTCAGTGTGCAACTATCAACAGATATTTGCATGCAACAAAATTAAATATCTTACTAAATTAATATTACTGCTCTAAGTAGAGGGGTAGTTCATCATTTATAACTGCAATAGCATTTGAATGATTCTTGGCATTTGACTATGTCATCTATGTCTAAGCTTTGAGATAAATTTCATGTAACGTATGCAAGCTCACTACATTACTGTAATTTGCTTTTGCATTAATTTCATTTTTACGTGCATTAAAGTATTATTTAGCAAATAGTGTTAACAAGTAATGACTTCAGTGAGGCTTTCTGCCTAAGTAAGGACTGAGTAAAAACTGTGTTAGGACCTCAAGATTTGCCCTATTTGGTTTTATAAACTCTATCCCTAACCTTATTTTTTGGCCTTAAATTAAGGCCTTATCTACACAGAATAATTGCACCATTTTCACTATGTTGGTATAGTTAAAGCTATACAACCCGTGCTAGAGTGGATGCAGTTATATTGGTATATCTTAGGGCCTGTCTACACATAAACCACTACAGCAGCACCTCTTCAGGGGTGCTTCTGTAGCACTTCAGGAGAACCCCTCCTGTAATCCACTCCATAGGTAATCCATCTCCCCAAGAGATCGACAGAAGAATTCTCTCATAAACGTAATGCTCACCATCCCAGGAGTTAAGTCAGTTTAACTGGATTTTTCACATCCCTCAGGCCATGTCTACACTACGAAAGTACTCCGATTTTACAGAAGTCGGTTTTTGGGAACAGATTGTATAAAGTTAAGTGCGTGCTTCTACACTAAGCACATTAATTCGGTGGAGTGCATCCACAGTATCGTGGCAAGCATCGACATTCCGAGCGGTGCACTGTGGGTAGCTAGTCCACAGTTCCCGCAGTCCCCGCTGCCCATTGGAATTCTGGGCTGAGCTCCCAATGCCTGATGGGGCCAAAAATTTGTCACGGGTGGTTATGGGTAAATGTCGTCAGTCAACCCTCCCTCCGTGAAAGCAACAGCAGACAATCATTTCGCGCCCTTTTCCCTGGATTGCCTGAGCAGACGCCATAGCACCGCAAGCATGGAGCCCGTTCAGCTCACCACAGGAGTTATGACAATTGTAAACACCTCGTGCATTATCGTGCAGTTTATGCAGAACCAGCATCTGAAAAACCAGGCGAGGAGGTGATGGCAGCGCGGTGATGAGGACATTAACACAGATTTCTCTAAAACCGCGGTCCCCAGCAATTTGGAGCTCATGGTGTTACTGGGCCAGGCTCATACCGTGGAACACCGATTCTGGGCCCGTGAAACAAGCACAGACTCGTGGGACTGCACAGTGTTGCAGGTTTGGGATGATTCCCAGTGGCTTCGAAACTTTCGCATGCATAGGGGCACTTTGATGGAACTTTGTGACTTGCTTTCCTCTGCCCTGAAGCGCAAGAATACCAAGATGAGAGCAGCCCTCACAGTTCACAAGTGAGTGGCAATAGTCCTGTGGAAGCTTGCAACGCCAGACAGCTACTGGTCAGTCAGGAATCAATTCGGAGTGGGCAAATCTACTGTGGGGGTTGCTGTGATGCAAGTAGCCAACGCAATCATTGAGCTGCTGCTATCAAAAGTAGTGAGTCTGGGAAACGTGCAGGTCGTACTAGATGGCTTTGCTGCAATGGGATTCCTCAACTGTGGTGGGGTGATAGACGGAACACATATCCCTATCTTGGGACCAGACCACCAGGGCAGCCAGTACATAAACTGCAAGGGGTACTTTTCAATGGTGCTGCAAGTACTGGTGGATCACAAGGGATGTTTCACCAACATCAACGTGGGATGGCTGGGAAAGGTTCATGACGCTCGCATCTTCAGGAACTCTGGTCTGTTTAAATGGCTGCAGGAAGGGATTTACTTCCCAGACCAGAAAGTAACTGTTGGGGATGTTGAAATGCCTATAGTTATCCTTGGGGACCCAGCCTACCCCTTAATGCCCTGGCTCAAGAAGCCATACACAGGCACCCTGGACAGTAGCAAGGAGCTGTTCAACTATAGGCTGAGCAAGTGCAGAATGGTGGTAGAGTGTGCATTTGGACGTTTAAAGGGTCACTGGCGCAGTTTACTGACTTGCTCAGACCTCAGTGAAACCAATACTCCCACTGCTATTGCTGCTTGCTGTGTGCTCCACAATCTCTGTGAGAGTAAGGGGGAGATGTTTTTGGCGGGGTGGGAGGTTGAGGCAAATTGCCTGTCTGCTGAATATGTGCAGCCAGACACCAGGGCGGTTAGAAAAGCACAGCAGGAAGCGCTGCGCTTCAGAGAAGCTTTGAAAACCAGTTTCATGACTGGCCAGGGTACTGTGTGACACTTCTGTTTGTTTCTCCTTGATGAAAACCCGCCCCCTTGGTTGACTCTAAATTCCCTGTAAGCCAGCCGCCCTCCACCCTTCGATCACAGCTTGCTTGCAAAGGAAATAAAGTCACTATCATTTAAAAAACATGTATTTTTTATTAATTGATTATAAAAATAGGGAGATAACTCACAAGGTAGCTCAGATGGGGTGTGGGAGGAGGGTGGGAGGGAAGGAAAAGGCCACTTTAAAACTTGCTGAATGACAGCCTTCTGTTGCTTGGGCTGTCCACTGGGGTGGAGTGGTTGGGTGCCCAGAGCCTCCCCCTTCCCCCGTTCTTGGGCGTCTGGGTGAGGAGGCTATGGAACTTGGGGAGGAGGGAGGGCGGTTAAACAGGGGCAGTCTGTGATCCTGCTGCTGTTCATGAAACTCCACCAGACGCCGGAGCATGTCTGTTTGATCCCGCAGTAGCCCCAGCGTTGCCTCATGCCTCCTCTGATCTTCCTGCCGCCACCTCTCCTCACGTTCATCGGCTATTTTCCTGTACTCTGCTATCGTGTCCCTCCACACATTCTGCTGAGCTCTGTCAGTGCCGGACGACTGCATGAGCTCAGAGAACATTTCATCGCGCGTGCGTTTTTTTCGCCGCCTTATCTGAGATAGCCTTTGGGACGGAGGAGGGAGGCTTGAAACATTTGCAGCTGCTGGAGGAAAAAAAGGGAGTGAAGTATTTAAAAAGATACATTTTACAGAACAATGGCTATACTCTTTCACAGTGAACAACACTATTCACATTACATAGCACATGTGATTTTGGTACAAGGTCGCATTTTGCATCTTATATTGAGTGCCTGCGGCTTTGGTGTTAGAGATCACACACGCGGGCCGGGCAACAGAATTCGGTTTGCAGGCGGCCATGGTAAGCCATAGTCTTTTGGCTTCTGCAATCTTCAAAACAGCAGCGCCCTCCTCTTCCATACCAAGCAAAGCATGTTGAGTTGGCCGTTTAGTGCTGCGGTTTTCCTGTTAACGTGCAGCAGCAGAAACCAAACTAACCCCCCACCCCATCCAATTCTCTGGGGTGATTGCTTTACCCCTCACCCCACGACATGGCTGGTATCAGGGAAGATCCCTGCTAGCCAAACGCGAACAGTTCAGCGCCAATGCCCCCCCCCGCCCCACCGTGTGGCTAACTGCGGGGAGGATTGCTTTTCAGCCACAGGCAAACAGCCCTGTTGGAATGGCCACCTCTGAATGTCCCCTTAATTAAATTCCCCTATTTCAACCAGGTTACCATGAACGATATCACTCTCCTGAGGATAACACAGAGAGATAAAGAACGGATGTTGCTTGAATGCCAGCAAACACCGGGACCATATGCTGCCAGGCTTTGTCATGCAATGATACCAGATTACTTCCTACTATCATGGCGTGGTAAAGTGTCCTATCATGGAGGATGGAATAAGGCTGCTGTCCCCAGAAACCTTCTGCAAAGGCTTTTAGAGTACCTCCAGGAGAGCTTCATGGAGATATCCCTGGAGGATTTCTGCTCCATTCCCAGACACGTTAGCAGACTTTTCCAGTAGCTGTACTGGTCACGAATGCATCTCAAGTCCTCAGGGCTACTTAATAATTAAAAAACGCTTGCTTTTATAACATGTATTATATTTTAAAAGGTACACTTACCAGAGGTCCCTTCTCCGGCTTCATTGGGTTGGGAGGATATTTCAGTCAGGGTGATAAAAAGATCCTGGCTGTCAGGGAGAACGGTGTGATGTGTGCTCTCCTCAAGCTCGTACTCCTCCTCCTCCTCTTCCCCGTCCGCAAAATCTTCAGGCATGGCGGAAAGTACCCCATCATTGGAGTAGATGAACAGGGGTGGGGTAGTGGTGGCGGCCCCCCCTAGAATTGCATGCAGCTCAGCGTAGAAGCGGCATGTCTGGGGCTCTGTCCCGGAGCATCCGTTTGATTCTTTGGTTTTCTGGTATGTTCGTCTGAGCTCCTTAAGTTTCACGCGGCACTGTGTTGCATCCCTGCTGTAGCCTCTGTCCCTCACAGCCTTGGAGATTTTTTGAAATGTTTTGGCATTTCGTCTTTTGGAATGTAGCTCTGATAGCATGGATTCCTTTCCCCATACAGCGATCAGATCCAGTACCTCCAGTTCGGTCCATGCTGGAGCTCTTTTTCAATTTTAGGACTGCATAGTCACCTGTTCTGATGAGCTCTGCATGGTCACCTGTGCTGATGAGCTCGCCTGGCCAAACAGGAAATGAGATTCAAAAGTTCCCGGTGCTTTTCCTGTACACCTGGCCAATGCATCCGAATTCAGAGTGCCATCCAGAGCGGTCACAATGGTACACTGTGGGATAGCTCCCGGAGGCCAATACCTTCAAATTGCGTCCACACTAATTCGAAATGGCGATGTTGATTTCAGCGCTAATCCCCTCGTTGGGGAGGAGTACAGAAATCGGTTTTACGAGCCCTTTATGTCGAAAAAAATGGCTTTGTTGTGTGGATAGGTGCAGGGTTAATTCGATTTAACGCTGCTAAATCCGACATAAACTTGTAGTGTAGACCAGGCCTCAGTGACAGAGTAATACTGACTTAATTTCCTAGAGTAGACCAGGTCATATTCATTGGGGAATAAGCCATACCACCGTAACTATTTTTATACCATTGTAACTGCATCCACATCAGGAGGAGTTATACTGGTATAACTATTTTGGTAAAAAAACAAACAAAAAAAACCCCCAACCAATAACTGAAATAGTTATACCAGTATAAAAACAGTGCGCAGACCACGCCAAAGTTGACAGTGTCCCTTAAAGTACTGACAGATTTCAGAGTAACAGCCGTGTTAGTCTGTATTCGCAAAAAGAAAAGGAGTACTTGTGGCACCTTAGAGACTAACCAATTCAGAGTAACAGCCGTGTTAGTCTGTATTCGCAAAAAGAAAAGGAGTACTTGTGGCACCTTAGAGACTAACCAATTGGTTAGTCTCTAAGGTGCCACAAGTACTCCTTTCCTTAAAGTACTGTCATACACTCACAGCACAAAGAAGCAAAACAATGTTAGTTATTTTTCTACAGTCTTTTCTAAGAGTGTTTTGAGCCTACACTAGGTTTTGTAGTAGGATCTCCCCAGGCTGAGATTTTTTAAATTAAAGTGACAGATGATAATACCTAGTTCATAGATACAAATTTTCATCAGTAAATCTCAAAGTAGGTTAGTATCATTAATGCCAGTTTACAGATGGAGATACTGAGGCCCAGAGAGATGAAGCGACTTGCTCTAGTGGCAGAGCCAGGAATAGAACCCAGTTCACCCGAGGCCCATCGCAGTACTCTATTGCTAGGCCACACTGCCTCCCTAACAATAACACTTATTGAAAAGTCTTACAAAATTTAATAAGGAGTGAAAGCAATGTGGCTGTATACAATTAAATATGGTTGCCTAGAAATTTTGCTTAGAACCAAAAAGACTGAAAGAGAATGATATATAATATCTTTCCTTTTTAGATTTTGACCCTCTATGGAGTTCCATAGCAAGGATAAAATATCCTACAAGATTCTACATATCCTACATTCTACAAGATAATCCAAAAAACTATAGAAAAATGATCATTTTCTATTCGATTCTGTGGCACTTTTCCATAAGGGAAGAGGTTTCAGATTTTCTGTCAACATGCAAATTTAGCAGTTTGTGAAACAGCCAAATTAATCTGCTTAGCTTGACACATCTCCAAAATCAAACACACCCTCACCCCTTAAAAAGACTCCCCAAAACTTTGAAATTCTTGATTTTTATTCCAGTCAGTGGAAAAGTCTGATTTCCTCTGGATAAATTCCTTGTTAACATTTATCATCAGTCTAGAGTGGGAGCCAGTCCTCCCATCTAGATGGCTCACAGCAATGGAAATGAGCATTACCAGATTTTGTAAGACTGAGGTGAAGTTAGCATCAAGAGAACTAGCCTGAGGAACGACCAAGCACTTACTGAATGCACAGGGGAAAAGCTAACTGGAACCTCATTAAAAGCGATAGGACAAGATTTTCAAAAGTGGCTAGCCATTTTGTGTGCTTCCATTTTTGAGTGTTTAACTTGAGACACGTTAAAGAACTCCAATCCTCAAAAAAGTGCTGGACAGCCCCCTTTAGAAATCACGCTCTTTTAAGGTATATCAATTTGGGTTCCCAAATGGAGGCACTCAGATTCACTAGTCATTTTTGAAAATCATCGCTGTAATGTCCAAACTAATGTAAAGTTTGAAAGAAATGATAAGGCACCCAACCGTTAGTATGTTTTAGGACGAAGGTTCTGAAATGTTTGGCTGAGTGTTTTTAACACTTCTGGTCCCAGAAGGGGTATCTATATGGGATTTCTGACTCAGACTGGAAGTTTAAGAGTTGGGGGTTTCAGGAGAAAGCCTATTCTTGCCAGATTTCCACTCCAGTTTTGCAGACTAAAGTGATTTGCATAGTTGATCAGATTCTAATTTCTGGATACTTATTTATCTGAGCCTAACTAGCACTCTGAACCATTTGGGCTTCCCTAACAAAGCTGCAACAGAACTTGATGGCGGCATCTATCTGACAATGGCTTAGAGAAAAGAGAAGGATCTGTCAAAACATTAATATTCAGACACGACATCTTATAATTGTATCACTTTCCAAACTATCTTTAAGTGTGACAGAGGGGAAAACGATAATGGCTGTAAAATCAATCCCAAGCAAAATGTTTCTCAAAATTTCCATTCTTGGCTATAAGTAATAAAAAACCTTACATTTAAAAAAGAAAGATGTATTATATTTTCTTGAAGAGACTGGGCCAAATCCTGAGGCCCTTATTCATTTTTCACTTGGGGCCTGATCCTGAGAAGTGCTAAGCACATTAGGCCCAATCCAGCACACAGTGATTTAAGTGGGAATCTTGTCATTGACTTTAAAGGGCACTAGACCAATGCCCTTATGACTTATGGCACCTTATGACTCAAGTAATCCCACTGGCTTCAAAGGAAGCACTTGGATAGTAAAATACTGCTCAGCATGAGAAAGGGTGTCAGAATTTAGCCCTTAAACACGAGTTTACCAGAGGAAATGAAGTAAAACCTGAATAAAGCATCAAGATTTTGGGCAACATTTTCAAAAGCACCTAAGTAATTTAAGAGCTTAATTCCTATTTTCAAAAGTGATTTAGGAGCTTGCATCCCATTGGCTTTCAATAAGACTTAAGCACCTAAGGCCACGTCTACACTACCCGCCAGATCGGCAGGTAGTGATCGATCTATCGGGGATCGATTTATCGCGTCTAGTGTAGAGGCGATAGATCGATCCCTGATCGCTCTGCCGTCGACTCCGGAACTCCACCACAGTGAGAGGCGGAAGCGAAGTCGACGGGGGAGTGGCGGCCATCGATCCCGCACTGCGAGGACGCGAAGTAAGTGATTCTAAGTCGATTTAAGATATGTCGACTTCAGCTACGCTATTCTCGTAGCTGAAGTTGCGTACCTTAGATCGATCCCCCCGCCCAGGCCTTAGTCTCTAATGAAAAGGGGACGTGGATGCTCTTGAAAACATTACCCTTGCTCAATGTTAGCTTTAGCCTAGCCGAAGTATCCTGGAGAGGATTTGTGAAATTCATTCCACCAAAAGCAAGAAACTAAGCAAATACTGGATACTGAGACTTCACTAAATACTGCGTCATCGAATTGCAGAATGACAAAATAGGTCTGGAACTTACTTGGGAGAATTGTTTTGTAGCGATTCTTCCGCACTAATCCTGGAATATCATATTCCTTTGGATCAACGAAGTTCATTGGGATTTCCTGTTGGAAGATGCACAATAGACTATATTAATAGATTCACGAGGGGGGAAAAAACCATTACGTCTTGACTGTGGAGGAGTAGCAGAGATTAAGTCAACTGAGACATATGGTATAGTAGTTCTAGCAATTTACCACCAAAGCACGACTGATGGTTTCCTTTTTGTGTCAACGGTTTTCTTTTTCGAAATCATGAATATAAAAAATGTTCCGGATGACTAATGCTGTGAGTGGTGCACAGAATGGCGCTATTTCCGCTCCTAATATTCTTAGAAGTGTATTGTGACTTGAGGCATAAATGTAAGCCAAGGATGGTGCGTAAGCTGCAGCACCTCAGGAAGCACCGTACTTCAGACACGCCCCTCTGAGTCACAATCCCTCCCCTTCTTCCTCCTTGTTAAAACCGGGTCAGTAATTTGCTGCTGGCCTGTATCTGCAAAGTACAACACCCTCCATCACAGCTCACCTGCACTAGTCAGTAGTATGGGAATGGGGAGTGGAAAAAAGGAACCACTCAGTTTTTGCCCCTCCCCATCCACCTTCTCTGGGAGGGGGGACAGTAAGGAGATACTGTGTGTGCACCTACCTCTCCTACACAACTAAACCCAAGGTCCAGGTAGCTCACACAGGGCTGTCAGGGGTAGGTTCTTACTCCCTTACACAGGTGTGCAGGCCAAGTCACTAACTGGCCCTTAGAGGGTGAGGTCTTCCGGGCATGGCCCTGATCCTCAGTGGGGTCTTTGCGCTCTACCCATGATATAAATATTACATAACAATAGTAATTTCTTAAATGAGCTTTAACAGGGCTACTTCTTTATCAGAAACAGCCACAGGGAGAAATAACAAGAGAATTAGCAATGGGTTATGGAGCCTTTCACATCTATATTACAGACTGAAATCTCAGAGCTCAGGCTGGTTTCATTAGGAGCCAACTGATTGCTCTTCAGTGGGCTACAGCATGTGAAATTAGTTGATCAATTCATAGTGGATGCACAGCCATGTAAAGCACTCTCAGGTGAGAGACCAAGGACTGAATGTGACCACAGAGACTAAACTCCCCTCAGACCCTGATTTTTCCCCTTCAGAACAGGATAGAGGCACAAAGGCAGAGCTTGTTCTGGTTCTGTGTTTAATATGTTCTGTGGGTAAACAAAAGGTAGAAGACTGTTAAAATTAAACACTGAGTTTTCTACTCCAGGTGCTCTCAGCCTGCCTCTAACTCAAATTCATGGTGGAAAAAGCGTTAGTAATCTTCAACCTTAGCAAGCACCCAACTAAAAAATAAATACATTGCTAGAATGGAGGTCATATTTCATGGTTGATGCTATTTTGCAAATGCAGGTTTGCTGATCTTTGCTTTACCTAATTATTTTGCAATTAGCCATGTGTTTTCCTTGCTTTCCCTGTCCCTTACCATCAGTGATTTTGGGGAGATGATGTCCCAGAATACACCAGAAAGGCCACATTTTTATATGCTTTTATTCAATTTAATTTTGAAAAAAAAACCTCATAAATCAGTTCCTATTGGGTCCCATAGGGAACTGAATGTAGAGGTCGAGGTGTTTACTCTGACAGATGGACAGATGAGCAAGTTGGAACTGGTAATGCAATTGACCCTTTCACTCTTCTTGCAGCCAGTTTTATTAGCTAGAATTCTGTTTATAATGTATCCAAGAATTAGCTATAAAAAGACTGAAAAAAAATCATACTTTGTCTCCCCAATCCCTATTACAATCAACACTCTCTTAATCT